CATGTATACCTCTAAACTCAGTCTGAACTGAGTTACGAGCATTAGAAGTTTGATGATTTTCATACTAGATTTGCTTTTTGCGCGCAAAGTTTTCTAACAAATTGCAACAAAATAGTGAGATTGTATGTGTAAACAAACAATACCATCCATTAAAGGCTCCAGACATCAGTATGGAGCAGAATCAGCGCAATAAAAAAATAGAGCAATATTTTGTTGCAATTTCTTACAAAACTTGCGCACAAAAAGCAAATCTAGTATGAAAATCATCAAACTTCTAATGCTCGTAACTCAGTTCAGACTGAGTTTAGAGGTATACATGCTATAGTAAGTTTGGTTTATTACACTATTTTGTAATCAAAAAACAAAGTTTGGTCGATGGCCGCGCGAAAAAAAAAAGACGCCACTTTCCATACAAAATCTGGCATTGCCATTTGTTTGGTCAGACAGAGACGGAGTGAATCTCTACGTTCGCACATAAGCTTAGCGAGAAATACTAGGTGCGCGTAATACACGACTACGGATTACGCAATAATAACCTCTATTACTTTCACCGTAGGGTCGGAAATAGTGTAATTTATAAAATACTAGGTGGATCAAGTATTTAAAAAAATGGAATAGGTGCCGCCTAGTACTGTAAAATACCTAGTGTGTGGATCTGTTCTAGTAAATACGTCTCATCTCTAGTAACCGCAGTATTTTGGACTCTATTGCCTTTTGTTATGGTTTAAAAAAAATCACTCACTGTTAATGAACCTTCCACAAGCCTTATCCAACGCGGCGACGAAACCGGAATCGTTGTTGAACGCCACCAGTACGAGCGCGTTGTATTTCTTGTGCACCTCCAGGATGGTCGAGACGTACACTTTGGGATCCTGTGTACATAAACCAATATTATAAGTATACAACATTTTCATGAGCAATCAAAGGTATAGTAGTTATAACTCAGTCAGGGCCTGAGGTTTGGGAGCAGCACGGAATGGGTAACTTTGACATATAATGACGTCTCAGAGCATACAAATACAGGGTGTTAGGTAAATGGGTATATGAGCCGACACTAGCCCATGTTAACATGGTCATATAAATGGTATGGTGAAGTCAGAAAATTTATATCTTCATTTTAGTTATTTTAATTTTCATACAAAACGGATTTTATAAAATTTATTTTGTATGAATATTTAAAAAAATAAAATAATGATATCAAATTTCTGACTTCACCATACCATTTATATGCCCATGTTAGCATGGGCTAGTGCAGGCTCATATACCCATTTACCTAACACCCTGTATACAAAACTAAAATACGTTATTTCGTTTTTGTAATTTTACACGTCTAAGTTAAGCCCTACTACTGCTTTGGGACAATAACCAGCGCAAAAATCTGTTTCATAAAATTAGTAACCGAGAGAGAACAAAACCAGTGTTCCGTTTTTGGGCATAATGCTGCGACACTGGCCCCGCCCCCTTTTCACATCTCCCTTAAGCTTCTGTGATCTGTGCTCTGTAACATGTGCGAGCTTTAGACGGCTGCATGCGGTCACCGGCTGTGCTAGTCGCGACCTTATGCTCTAGCCTCTTAAGATCCCGCGTACAATATTTTGCACAAAATAAAATACCTCTGTCAGTCACAGCTTTCTAATAATGTTTTAGTCGTAACGGCTCACTGTGTAATTTTTTTTACATTCTTTAGTCTTGTATTGTTTTTTCGAATCTTCCCGCGACCAGTTTTACTCAAAATGACTTGATTAGTCTATATTGCCTATGGCATCAATGCCGCCAACCAAAAAAAGGTAAAAACAGTCAAAACCAGCTGTGACAAACGAAGAAACATGCCGTTTTGCATGCCGCGGAAGAAATTCTCTGGGTCTGACATCAATAAATTAATTTGTGCATAATTTTGTACAGTGGATTTTAACGACTACCATGTTATTTCAAGTCTGGGTCTTAGGAGGCTAGACATAAGGCTCAGTACCGTGTGCGCGCTCTCGCCGCACTTGTCGACGGCCTGCAGCCCCTGCGCGTGGATGTGCTGCTCCAGTAGACGCCTCAGCTCACACAGCCCGTCGGGGATGCGAGCGACCAGGCTGTACATGCGGCCTAGGTCGTCGTTCTTGTCACCGTCTAGGAGTTTCTGGAACAAAAAACAGATTTTTGAATAAATATTTCAAAAGTTTACCTATGTATTGTTAGACTGGCTATTTTGAACTGAGCTATTGCTCATTAAATTCGAGACTTTTACTTAAGTTAGCCAGCTAGCAAGAGGAGAAAACGACCCGCGAAGGTTGGCAAATCATATTACATTATAGAACTAGCGCTTAGCGTTCCTTAGGCATGGGAGCAGAGAGAAAAGGAGATGTATCTAAATCCCCACTGCCTTATCCCCATACCTTACTCAACCGGAAACGTCATACGGTTCGTAGACAGCAAGAGACTTTACAGCTGACAGATACTGACAGAGTAGTCTTGCTCCCGCTCGTCTCATCTCCGCTCCTCTCCGCTCGTCTCATCTCCACTCCGCTTTGATAGAAACCAGGTCTAATCAAACCATTAAAAGTACAGAACCAATAGACACTGACCTGGAGCTCCGCGTGGAATATCCTCCTCTCTACTTCGCTGGAAACCGGGCCTAAACGTCTGCCAGAGGAGTATTGCTCTCCGCTCGTCTCGTCACAGCTCCTCTTCACTCGTCTCTGCTCCTTTCCGCTCCTTCAAAGGAACCCCTAAACCTATAGTCATTCCTCACTGATCTTGAACATCTTGGCCAGCCGTTCCATCGTCGTCTCGTACAGCTGCTCTTCTCGCAGATGCTAAAGGAGCCCCTAAACCCACGGAGCCACTCCCCACTGACCTGGAACTCGGCGTGGAAGATCTCCAGGTGCTTCTCGATGAGCACCCGGTCGCAGGTCTTGGCCAGCCGCTCCATCGTCGTCTCGTGAAGGTACACCTGCACGCGCCGCTGTTCCTCTTGCGGGCGTTACACCCGGCTTCTAGCAAGGCGGAGCGGAGCCGAGATGTGGCGAGATGTGTCTCGTTCCCCGCTGTCTTCTGCTCTCGTCTTACACACCCGGAAACACAGACAGCAAGAGACTTGACAGCTGACAGCTACTGACAGAAGAGTCTTGCTCCCGCTCGTCTCATCTCCGCTCCTCTCCGCTCGTCTCGTCTCCACTAAACTTTGGAAGAAGCCTAAGCGTTTGCATGAGGAAACTTGCTCTCCGCTCTTCTCCGATTTGCTCGTCTCTTCTCCGCTCCGCTTTGGTAGAAACCGAACCCCTAAATGTACAAAAACTAGTTACTGACCTGGAACTCCTTAGCCAGCCGCTCCATCGTCATCTCGTATAGCTGCTCTTCTCGCAGACGCTAAAGGAACCCCTAAACCCACAGAGCCATTCCCCACTGACCTGGAACTCGGCGTGGAAGATCTCCAGGTGCTTCTCGATGAGCACCCGGTCGCAGGTCTTGGCCAGCCGCTCCATCCTCGTCTCATGTAGCTGCTCTTCTTGCAGACGCTAATGGAACCCCTAAAGAACCCCTAAACCCACAGAACCGCTCCCCACTGACCTGGAACTCGGCGTGGAAGATCTCCAGGTGCTTCTCGATGAGCACCCGGTCGCAGGTCTTGGCCAGCCGCTCCATCGTCGTCTCGTGAAGATACACCTGCACGCGCCGCTGCTCTTCTTGCAGGCGTTGCTCGGCCTAAAAAGATATACAGTAACCGTAAAAACTATTATACACAATACACAAAAAATCTTGAAAAACATAACTTGCAAGTCTATCATTTCACACGATGTTTATACCGTAGATTGCTAAAGAAGACCATACGTCTGTTGCGACTGTGCGACGGGTGAGTGTGCAAGCGCGACATCAACATAATTACGCGCGAGCGATAAGGATGGTTAGCTTGGGATCACTTAACAAAATTCTACGTGTTCACATACCGGGCTTTAGACAGTTATCCTTATCCTCGAGAATAATAACTTGAAGTCTCTCATTTCACACGAATATGCACCAACGAATAACAAAAGAACACCATTGGTTAAATAGAGTGGACCATAGGGTAACTAGAGCAGACCATAGACTAGCTAGAGTCGACCATGGACTAGCTAGATGAGACCATAGGCTTACTAGAGACCATAGGGCTAGCTAGAGCAGACCATTGACTTACTAGAGTAGCCCATAGGTTTACTAGAGACCATATGCTACCTAGAGCAGACCATTGACTTACTAGAGTAGACCATAGGTTTACTAGAGACCATATGCTACCTAGAGCAGACCATTGACTTACTAGAGTAGACCATAGGTTTACTAGAGACCATATGCTACCTAGAGCAGACCATTGACTTACTAGAGTAGACCATAGGTTTACTAGAGACCATAGGTTAGCTAGTGGAGACCATAGGGCTAGCTAGAACAGACCATAGACTAGACAAAGTGCACCATAGACACGTACCTTGATCATGTACTCAGTCACGGGGTTGTTTCGCAGGAAGTCGGTGCTCTCCCTCGTATAGAACCGCTCCGTGTCCTCGAGGAAGACGGCTTCGAATGTCTCCTTGTACACCGCGAGGTTTTGGCCGCGGGCGCTCGGGTCTTCTTCATTCAGACCAAGGGCTACGTAGCAGTCGATTACCTGGAGAGAAATAAGGCTTATTAAACTACGGCCAACGAGAAGCGATACCAAATGTAAACAAACCCAATGTCATGGGTGAACCCGTCTGACTTTGACATATTTTGGCGGGAGAGCGAGACATTACGACAAATACACAAGATGGGAAGAGACAGAATATATTGTCAACTCGACAGTCGTATCGACCTTTTGTATCGCTGCTAGTTGGCCGTACTTTAGGTACTATTTTAGTATCTATTAGATTTGGCTAGTTTCTCCCCTTGGGGAGTGATAACATCCTTTCTTAGCTGATTAATAATTTTATCTGCATCAATATGCCAGCGCAGTCCATTAACGTGTTTTTTTATCTGTATTTCATAGTACAGTCATTAATAGTGAGTTTTTGCGCTCCTTCTAAATATTATGCTTCCTGGCGTTCCTTAGGGAATGTTTCCCATCAGTTGACTATCTTGGGGAAAGTTTCCCATCAGTTGACTATCTTAGGGAAAGTTATTCCCATCCGTTAAATATCTTAGGGAAAAGTTATTCCCATGAGTTGACTATTTTAGGGAAAGTTATTCCTATCAGTTGACTATCTTAGGGAAAGTTATTCCCATCAGTTGACTATCTTAGGGAAAGTTATTCCCATCCGTTGACTATCTTAGGGGAAGTTATTCCCATCAGTTGACTATCTTAGGGAAAGTTATTCCCATCCGTTGACTATCTTAGGGAAAGTTATTCCCATCCGTTGACAATTTTGGGGAAAGTTATTCCCATCCGTTGACTATCTTAGGGGAAGTTATTCCCATCAGTTGACTATCTTAGGGATAGTTATTCCCATCCGTTGACTATCTTAGAGAAAGTTATTCCAAAGTTATTATACCAGTTGGCTGCAATAAAACCACCAAGTCTCCGTCTTCCGTTGCGTTCCTGTGGCTTTTTTATCAGCAGACTATCTTTGACTGCAATGATGAGGAACTTACTCCGGAGATCCAGTCTCGACGAGGTCCAAGAAAGTTGAGGAAGGTTTACTAAAGTCTGGTCACCGAGCACGTAGAATTTTGTCCAATGACCCCCGCTACCTATCCTTATCGCTCGCGCGTAATTATAATGTTGTCGCGACTGTGCAACGGGCGGCAGCAGTGAGTGTGCGAGCGCAACAGCAATATAATTACGCGCGAGCGATAAGGATGGGTATCTTGGGGTCATTGGACAAAATTCTACGTGTTCGGGGACCAGACTTTAGCAAATAGACTTGGTTTGGTTGTAAATGCTGTAAAGCTGACGAGGGTCACTCACCCCGGAGACCAGGCGCGTGTTGATGGTCTCCCCGCTGCGTTCGCGCTCGATCAGCTTGAGCACCGCGTTGGTGACCTGCTTGTTCAGCCGCTGCAGTAGAGCGTCACTCAGCGGAGCGTCACTCAGCGGAGCGTCACTCAGTGGAGCGTCACACAGCGGAACGTCACTCAGTAGAGTGTCACTCAGTGGAGCGTCACTCAGCGGAGCGTCACTCAGCAGAGCGTCACTCAGCGGAGCGTCACTCAGCGGAGTGTCACTAAGTGGAGCGTCACTCAGTAGTGTCACCCAGTGGAGCGTCACTCAGCGGAGCGTCACTCAGCGGAGCGTCACTGAGCGGAGCGTCACTCAGCGGAGCGTCACTCAGCGGAGCGTCACTCAGCGGAGCGTCACTCAGGGAGCGTCACTCAGCGGAGCGTCACTCAGTGAAACGTCACTCAGGGAGCGTCACTCACCCCGGAGACCAGGCGCGTGTTGATGGTCTCCCCGCTGCGTTCGCGCTCGATCAGCTTGAGCACCGCGTTGGTGACCTGCTTGTTCAGCCGCTGCAGTAGAGCGTCACTCAGCGGAGCGTCACTCAGCGGAGCGTCACTCAGTGGAGCGTCACACAGCGGAACGTCACTCAGTAGAGTGTCACTCAGTGGAGCGTCACTCAGCGGAGCGTCACTCAGCAGAGCGTCACTCAGCGGAGCGTCACTCAGCGGAGTGTCACTAAGTGGAGCGTCACTCAGTAGTGTCACCCAGTGGAGCGTCACTCAGCGGAGCGTCACTCAGCGGAGCGTCACTGAGCGGAGCGTCACTCAGCGGAGCGTCACTCAGCGGAGCGTCACTCAGCGGAGCGTCACTCAGGGAGCGTCACTCAGCAGAACGTCACTATGCGGACCGTCACTCCGCGGAGCGTCACTCAGCGGAGCGTCACTCAGCGGAGCGTCACCCAGCGGAGCGTCACTCAGCGGAGCGTCACTCAGGGAGCGTCACTCACCCCGGACACGAGGCGCGTGTTGATGGTCTCCCCGCTGCGTTCGCGCTCGATCAACTTGAGCACCGCGTTCGTGACCTGCTTGTTCAGCCGCTGCAGTAGAGCGTCACTCAGCGGAGCGTCACTCAGCGGAGCGTCACTCAGCGGAGTGTTACTAAGTGGAGCGTCGCTCAGTAGTGTCACCCAGTGGAGCGTCACCCAGTGGAGCGTCACTCAGTGAAACGTCACTCAGTGAAACGTCACTCAGGGAGCGTCACTCACCCCAGAGACAAGCCGCGTGTTGATGGTCTCCCCGCTGCGTTCGCGCTCGATCAACTTGAGCACCGCGTTGGTGACCTGCTTGTTCAGCCGCTGGAACAGGTTGTCGCGCCAGGTCACCAGCGCCAGCTGGTAGATCTCGTAGATGCCCTGCAATTTATAGTAAGTAATTTTAGTTTATTTCACGCCTGCGTCTCATATTTGTGTAAGGGATTTTAGTCAGGCAAGCGGAGCCCTATCTCTGTAACAATATGTATGTCAACGTGAAATTGTGAACTCTGTCAGTTTATAATATAACGCGTTAGATTGTAAACTAACAGTGGGTTAGGTTAGGTTAGATTGTAATTTAACTACGTCAGATTATAATCTGACGGAATTGACAGTTTTACGGTGACATGTATAAGGGATTTCAAGGTGAGCGCCAAGGCAAAATCGTATCGTGGACATAGTATCCACAACTACTTGTGCGCGAGCATCGCGTTTTTGCGACTACTTTCGGACCCGGTATCGGAATCGCGCATTTTAATGACTTCGCTGCGTTGAGCCTTTGAAAAGCGAATCAATCGCCGCGTTTGGAGTTTTTAATTATGCAGTGTCGAATGTTTGTAGAATGTTCGCCGCATTCATCTTCTAGCGGTTCAATCACCGATCACCGATGCTAAAAGTCTCTTGCTACTTGCTAAAAATACCTATTTCCCTTACCTTCCTTCCTTCCTCGCACTCGCGCTTCACCCAGTGCCGGTTGAGGTAAGCGCACACTCCGTTGAGCACCCGCGACGAGAACTGGTACTCTTCCCACTGCTTAGTGTAGAACGCCAAGACATCTTCGCCCATAAGGTCGGCGCCGTTCTGCGAAATAAGGATTATTATTGCTTGAAGTCCTAGCGAAGAAGGTGCTTGCTTGCTTACTGCTCTTAACGTGGATATCGTAAAAGGGGACTAGGGGACAAATATGCGGACATCAGGCCACCCCAACCCGTTCTGGCCAACGGAAATCTCTCCATTTCCAAAATTATCTAGTTAATCGTTAAGTGTGGTACTACGCTTAATGGGCGGCGGTACCAATAAAGTACGACATTATCTGTAAAGGATGGTCCGTGAGCACGTAGAATTTTGTCCAATGACCCCAAGCTACCCATCCTTATCGCTCGCGCGTAATTATATTGCTGTCGCGACTGTGCGACGCGCGCCAGAATATTTTATCGGAAATAATACGAAACTTCATGGACGTGAGCTGTCAAAATTATCATGTTATTTTGGACAAAGTATAATTAAATCCTGGTTATACAGGCTTTACAGTGGTGGGAACAAAAGTTGGGTTTATTCCATTAAATACATGGAGCTAATCGTAACTTGGAACTCGTCCTATGTCCTTCCGAATTATGTGCCCGCACATTAATCGGACCCGTCCAATGACAGTTTAACTTTCCCTCGTGACCAACTTGACCTTTACTGGTTGCGTTTTTATTGGAGTCAAACTGTAGACCCTGGCTTTACAGGAGTTATAGTGGGCACGAGAGGTGTCTTTATCCCATAACTTTTTAAAACATATGAAGCAAATTGTATTTCTGGGATTACACATTTTACTAGTTACATGAACAGAAGAAGTGGTGGAAACGAAATATGCAACTATCCCTTTATCTTTACACATATCGTCCATTTGCGACGACACTGTGATATATCAAAAACAGTAGTTTTACAGAAATCGACTTTTTAACTTTTGAATGACCATAACTCTTAAAAGAAGGTTAGGATTACCTAATTGTGTATGAAACGTTTAAAGATTAACTATTAATGAATTTAAATATTTATAGTAAGACATAACTTTGCGTCTAAATTGATGAAATTAAAGCGATTGAAAAAAAAAGAGACAACTTATCACGTTGTTCTAGTAAAAAATAATATTTTGAAGATGGTAAGTTCAGTTGTCACGTTGAAGATGATGTAAAAAAATATATTTATATAAGTCATTATTTAGATAACACGTTGATCTTGAAAATTTTTATTTTATTTTAATAACATTACAATCAGTAAAAATGAGGTAATTTTTGGAACAGGCGAATATTTCGCTTTGCCATGTTAAATTGCACTTATAAAAATATTATCTAAGTAGACAGACAGTTGTATACATACAATATTTAAGCTCACATTAAGTTTTCTTATTCTAAAAACTAATGCTTATCAAAATAAACGAAAAACTCTCAAAAGTAAAACCTCTTAAACTACTAGGTACAAAAAAAAACACAGTAAGAGAAACTGTACTAAGTATGTATGTATGCCGAAGAAAAAATTGTAGGTACCTACTAGGTTAGTAAATAGATGTTTTATAACTGACTAGTTATGACAATTTAATCCTAAAATTATCAACGCAAAAATCGCCGTCTCCGGCTACATTTTGGTACCTTTTAGGGTGTTTTAATTTTTTATACTTATTTAAAATTAAATTTATAAAAGATATTTAAATAATGTATTAATAGTGAAAAATAACAACCACTATTTATAAATAATGTAGCCATTTTATTGGCGTAGTTTTTCTGAAATAGTTATACCTATTGCAATGTTATTATACAAAACAATGTTGCGCCCGCCAAAGTATATTTGGGCAAGAAGCGATAAAATTCCATCAATTGCTGATTATCTGTAATTATATTAAAACATTAAAATACCTTTTTTGCAGAAAGCAAAACATAGCCAATACAGCTAAGTAACATTGAATAATTACATAAATAAATAAATATCTGGGGTCATCCAACGCATTGCTATTCTAGCATACTTCTACATAGATAATTTTGTTAGCTATCATCTCAGATTAAGCTGATCTAAGGCTATCGTATGTTAATATAAAATATTTTGCTTGTTGTGTCTGTAAAAACAGACAGTCGTATAAGTATGTTTTATTTGCACTGTATTTCTAGTATTTGAACTATTCTTCAAAACGAATGTATGTTTATCAGTCTACATCTACTCATATTAGTTCCGACGTTATTGTAGCTCAAAGAGACACTTTCACAGCGCTCGCATAGCGCTGTTAGTCATGTTGTCGGATTAGGTTGTGGAATTCCTTCAGGCAGTGCATCGCCACAAATGTTAACCTTTGCTTTTTTGCATTGCTAGTCCCCATCTGTAATGATATCTGGAGCTTAGTATTACTGTTTAGCGTATACAACGTGACAAGTAGATATACCATTCAATTTCAATAACATGTATTCTGCAATAACAGAACATCAACAAATGACCTACAACATATTTTCAATATAGGAAAAATTTTCATCATCTACAACGTTATTAGTTAAGATGTCCCGATGATACTTCGATTTTCTTACAAGAATAACGTGACATATAAATAATTTCTCTTTTACTTTGCTTTTTGTTTTAGAAGAACACTGTGATAAGTATGACGTGCCACATTGTCGAATAAAATAAAAATATTTTAAAAACTTAACTTTGTCATCAATACCGCGGTATCCTCGAGATGTCACGTTTTTCTTAAAAACGAAGAGCATCTCACATCTCAAAGCGCAGGTGGCAACTGAACTGTCACAGTGTCGAAGCCAACTAGATGGCCGAACGAGCCAGCGCTATAACGTAATATTTTGTCTCTTTCTCTCATAGTATTGTTGTTTTTGGAGTAACAAATACCCTATTTTTGGAGATAAAAGAACGCAAGATCGCGGTTCAGAATTTCGGTAAAACAAAAATTCGTTTATCTCGAGATGTCACAGTGTCGTCGCAAATGGGCGATATCTGGAGCAACTCGATGGGATATATCCTACCTATACACGTTTAACAGTGGGAACTAGACACAGGTTTAGTGCTTAGTAGTACATACGTACCTGGAGCAGGTTGATGAGATAGATCCTCAGGAACTCCCGGAGACGTTTGTACAGCTCCAAGCCAACCAGCTGGGCGCCGCCGCCTTGCGCCTGCCCGCTCTGGAATAAACGACACAGCATGTAAATAAATTGATCAGAAAGGAGCAGGGTGGAAAAAAATCATGATTTATTTGATTTTTATTAGATTTTGCAATCATTGCCTTAGTTTTTCATGTGGAAAACAAGTTTATTTAAGTACAACTGAGGTATAGTAGTGGGAACAAGCCAAAAGAAGTAAAATTATGTAAGACGGTATGTTATATGTTTACTGAAACAAGAAAAAACTTTCGTCAAAAACAGCTCGTCCTAAGTGGTGTCTGTTTCCATTACAAAAACACGAATATTTTATTACAAGTACCAATTTTAATTTTTTTGCAAAAAAAATCTATGGAATTTTTTTTTTCCAATTTTACACACAAAACGGCTATTTCATTCTTGAAAACCTAATATTAACATTATTATCGAACATTATAGTTGATTAATATGCATTCCCAGCGTTGCAGTAATTCCATTTTCGGATATTGATTTAAATCAGTGATTTTTTATTAAAAAATCATGCAATAAAAATCATGATTTAAATCATGCAACCCTGGAAAGGAGTTATTATAGTGCTCAAATAAATCTAACATAGCCTGACGGATTAGCAAGCTGAAGTGGCAATTGGCAGGACACAGTACGTAGAACTGACGGCTGATGGGGCTAAAAGGTTTTGGAGTGGAGAAGTGCAAGTACAGCGTAGGAAATCCAGTACGCAGAACTGACGGCCGATGGGGCAGCAAGGTTCTGGAACTTCTGGAGTGCAGGCCACGTATCGGTAAACGCAGTGTAGGACATCCAACCAATAGGTGGACAGACGACCGTATAAAGGTAGCAGAAAGGTGCTGGATGCAGGCCGCTACAATCCGGGCAATGTGGAAATCATTGGGGGAGGCCTATGTTCAGCAGTAGACGTCCTGTGGCTGAAATGATGATGATAGCTCAAATATAGTTTTTTATGAGCCCAACATCGAACAACTGGTGAGACTCAGCCTTAAGGATTAATTTATAAATCCATTTAAACCTAAATCAGCGATACACGTGTGTACCTCTGACCTTGCCGCATCTGATTGGATTACAGTTGTTCTGTACAAGTAATAAGGATTTAAGTTGTAGTCGTGTTAAAGCCTCGTTTATGAAGTGGAATTCTGGGGGCCCTTGCTTCTGAGGGTCCAACATTAATGGGAATATCCTGTTTTTGTGGTACGGGACCTTGCAAAAAATGTATGCAGGAAGTTGCTAGTGGGAATTTCGTTGCACTCAGGGCACGACATCATGTGCTTCATCGACGGAACAAAACCGAACAAATTAATTGGTAAAATTAACAAACGTTGCTCACCTGTTTCTTGCTCGCATAGCTGTTCCTTCCGCCATTGGTGCCGCTATTCCTGCCGGCAGCAGTGCTCGAACTCTGGTGGTTCACCGACGTACAGTAGTTGTATACGTGACTGATGTGACGTTAAGGAAAGTACACTTTTATAAGGGTGGATTCAACCAAACAAGAGTAAATTTACTAAACATCAAATAAATCGCACCTCCCGCGACAAGCACTTTTAAATGTATGCATCCCCACTTCCTACCAATATTGGCACCATTTAAAAGCCTAGTTCTAAACTCCATTTCATAGGAAAGGTTTTTACCCCAAAAATCAAAAATGTGTCTTTAGGAGGATCCAGTCACTTCTTAAAAAAAATAGGTAGCTTGAGCTAACATTTATGGCTATAAAACTGTTAAGTTGAGATCAATCGCTATCCATCTGTTAAAGAGGACACGTGAGATCATTATTTGGTTTTATAACCATAAAAAATGGTCTAATTGATCGATCCCAGAGGTGAGCCCCAAGTGAGGACTTTTTTCAAGTCACATTTATGGTGTATGTTAATCGTTTATTAAGAAATTAAATATGTTTTTCTTTAAGGATATTTATTGGGCTTTCAAATAACACCAATATTGTTGGAGAACCATGATTGTGTCATAAGAAAATCTTTAAAGTTCGCGTCGCGGAAGGTGCGATTTATTTGATGTTGAGTATATTAATCTTAGAATAAATCGTCAGTTGTGACATAATTTCCCATACTGAAACTGTCAACGTGCCTGTTATACCAGGAGTTATTCTCGGATAAAAGTTTGGTCGAATCGGGCCTAAGTCACTAAGTAAGGCTTTTGATCATATTGATCACGTGATGCTTCTATAGAAACTGTAGTTGCCTGGCGTTCACGGTAACCTACTTAGATAGTTCCGAGTCGTATATTGATAATAGCTACCTAGGTCTCAGATAGTTGTTTTGGACGGGTACAAATCTAAATAGATGTCTGTCCCATCCGGTGTGCCCCAGGGCTCACTTCTTGGCCTCCGCTTATTTATAGAAGAAAGAAGTCAGCCATTTAGTAAGCTTCTAAAATAAAGTATTTAGTATGTATCATTCTGCATTACAAAATTTTAAACCTTCTCAATATTTTAAGGAATGTTTGTTACTGTAACGAGCAATCAAATACTTCTAATGGTGATATAAAATAATTCATGCAATTACTGCCTCATCTTTAACCGTGACAGTTATGAAAAACAATTATCATTCAAACTTCAAACTAATGAGAAATATGCGTCTAAATTCATTCTTTCATCGATCAAAAATCGAATAGCTTTCTTTATTATAATCGAAGCAATCAATCGGTTACCACTCTATAATGCGCATAAAGATGTGACGTTTGAATCGTTGAGATGTCCACGTTTTTGCTGTTTTAGTTTACTCTTGCTGAAATGGCGGACTTAGTTTAATGCACATAGCTGTTGAAGTTAGGTTAGGATGGGTTAGAATTTGCACCCAGAAGTGACTGTGATAGTTTCAACTATCCTTCAGGATTTGACTAAATTCTCATAGTTCCTCTCAATTTTCGCGAGTCACGGAGAAACGGGGTTATTATAGTAGTGGGTATACCTTGTCCTTTCAATGAGATGAGCCCTACATAACTTGCCCTATCAGGGTAGTAGACTATGCAGATGAAGCATTATGTATGTCCCCCTAAAAGGGGTACATTTTGCACAACCCTATGAAAATAAATGAGTAGTGGTTTCTCTACGATCTGATGAGTATGAAATTCAATTCATCTTGGAATAAGTGAACGATGTATAGCAGCACATTATTATTCGTCATTATGTAGTGATTGATCTGCAGGGAATCGTACTTATTAGGATCTCGATATCGTCGTTGCCTGTGGACCTCAGAGGACACAGCTACCCCCTAGACAAGTGATACTTTTTGGTCGCTTCACTAAGCCAAGTAACTCCATATAAAAACGCCGGAAAGAAGGCTTTTCGAAATAAACTGTCAAGTTTTACCACTTGTCTAGGTAGCTGGACGTAAGCGTCTCCTTAGGAGCACCACATAAGATTCAAGATTAATTGTTAAAAGGATACGTATACAAATGTATGTATCTCTTCTTGACCATATACTGCCTCTTGTATACTTGCTCGATGCCTTCTTGCAAGTCGCCCCATATCTGAAATCAAATAAATTTATGTTAGAGGTGACTTTGAAAAAAAAAAAAGGTAAAATCGATTCTATTGAATAAAAATCCTGAGAAGAGACATAACACTCGTGACAGTTTTAATACTGAAATTGATTCACGAAGCAATGACAAAAAAATGTTAGAGCGTAGCTACAGAGTAAATACAAATGAGTAGGTCATCTTCATAGAAACTCATCGAGCGCGGTTTGTATGTGAGCGGCATTCGGCGCAACACCCCGCTAATCCACGCTAAATTTCGTCCGTGTGTGCGTGCGCGCCGCATACGTATTGGCGCGCTCACATACAAACCGCGCTCGGTGCGTTTCTATGAAGATGACCTACTCATTTGTATTTACTCTGGTAGCTACGAGTATTTTGGAGTTCTGGAGTGTCAAAGGGGCTGATCATAATTGACGCTAGCGATTCGTCCGGAGACTCACGACTCACGACGAGGCGAGATCGCTACGTGCTTGTTCACGTTGACTTGCGGGCGCGGTGGCGGGCGCGGTGACGAAATATCAAACATATGTAGTGATTCCAAGTGTTCACGTACGAAACGCACGTGCGGTCTAACTAGCGGGCAAGCTAGCGACTGGTGCGCGCGGAGAGCTCGCGGTAATGGCAATGCCAGATTTTGTATGGAAGGTGGCGTCTTTTTTTTTTCGCGCGGCCATCGACCAAACTTTGTTTTTTGATTTCAAAATAGTGTTTTAAACCAAACTTACTATGGCATGTATACCTCTAAACTCAGTCTGAACTGAGTTACGAGCATTAGAAGTTTAATTATTTTCATACTAGATTTGCTTTTTGCGCGCAAGTTTTGTAAGAAATTGCAACAAAATATTGCGCTATTTTTTTATTGCGCTGATTCTGCTGCATACTGATGTCTGGAGCCTTTAATGGATGGTATTGTTTGTTTACACATACAATGTCATTATTTTGTTGCAATTTCTTACAAAACTTGCGCGCAAAAAGCAAATCTAGTATGAAAATAATTAAACTTCTAATGCTCGTAACTCAGTTCAGACTGAGTTTAGAGGTTACATGTCATACTAAGTTTGATTTATTACACTATTTTGTAATCAAAAAACAAGGTTTGGTCGATGGCCGCGCGAAAAAAAAAAGACACCAATTTCCGGCATTGTCTTTTCAACGCGTGAAGATGTTTGTGTGTGTTCATGTCAAACTAGCGGCGGCGCGCGCGTTTCACTCGCGACGTCAGGTAAGTTCAACCAGTTTGAACTTGTCGCTAGAAACGATAGTACGTCACACTCGCGCGAACGCCTGGTGGTTAATGTGAACACGAGCTCGCAACGTTTCCCGCGCCCGCGCGTACCTACGTGAACAAGCACTACGAGTACGGGGTCATACATAAAGTACGTCACACGTAAAGAGGGGGGGAGGGGTTTGACAAAGTGTGACATGGTGTGACAAGGGGTGGGAGGGGTCCTAAGTTTCGTGACATCACATTTCAATTGTTTCAGATATTTGATATAATGTTGATTTCATATAAAAAAATACTTAATTTAAATAGAAACTAGCTGACCCGGCGAACTTTGTTCCGCCGGGTCAATGCTGCAATTTATTGCTTAATGGCAATAAATAAGCAGACTTTTTTTTTAATTTCGAACGGGATAAAAAGTATCCTATGTCCTTCTTCTGGCTCTAAACTACCTCCCTGACAATTTTCAGCTAAATCGGTTCAGCCGTTCTTGAGTTATAAGTGGAGTAACTAACACGACTTTCTTTTATATATAAAAAACCAATTTCGGAACTGCTGTAATTTAATAATTTTTCGATGTGAAATTGCAAAACATGTGACGTCACACTAGGGAGGGGGGGGTCTCAGAAATGTGACTACCTGTGNAATCGGTTCAGCCGTTCTTGAGTTATAAGTGGAGTAACTAACACGACTTTCTTTTATATATAAAAAACCAATTTCGGAACTGCTGTAATTTAATAATTTTTCGATGTGAAATTGCAAAACATGTGACGTCACACTAGGGAGGGGGGGGTCTCAGAAATGTGACTACCTGTGACAAGGACGGAGGGGGGGTCAAAAAATCATGAAATTCGTGTGACGTACTTTATGGATGGCCCCTACGGTATTCGCTTCGGTATTCGAGCGATTGCATATTCGCGGTGACGTCATGGCATATGCCTCTCATCTCGTTGAAAACAAATCGCTAATGTAAAAAGAACAACTGCCCAATTGCAGTATTTGTGATACAATCGATTGCTTTATTGAGTGTAACTGATATTCGAGGTCAAATTTCGGTAAAGCAAATCGTTAATGCTATGGTGTTTTCCTCGATTACAATTTAAATTAATTACTCTAGTGGTAAACGGTCAAGCGTGAAAAGTAAAACCCATTTCAATACCATTCCCCCTACCCTTTCCACTCTCTCTGTCTATTCTTAATAAAATATCGCCAAGTACATTTTCTGCAGCGGCCGCCCGCGACTTCATACGCGTGGATCCCGTTTTAACCCCATAGGGGTGTAGTTTCGTAAAATCCTTTCTTAGCGGATGCCTACGTCATAACATCTACCTGCATGCCAAATTTCAGCCCGATCCGTCCAGTGGTTTGGGCTGTGCGTTGATAGATCACTATGTCAGTCAGTCAGAGTCTGAGGAAAGCTAGTTAAGAATATACCTCCGAGAATCTTGATATCTCTTCAAGCTCTCCTTTCTTGGAAAACGAATAAGAAATGCGTATTAGATACATAAATAAATACGCACGTGAAATTATTTGGAAGCTTTACACTTTCGTCATAATGACTGGGACATGACTAATTGAAAAATATTTACACATACAAATAGACTTCTTGCATTATACCCGTCATTCCTTGGTCTCAAGATCCAAACACTACACTGTCACTTGTCAGTACGGGACTATTCCCACCTCTCGTTCCCACCACTGCAACTCCTGTGTAGCCAGGATCTACAGCTTGACCGCCAATAAAAACCCAACCAGTGAAGGTCAAGTTTGCCCCGGGGAAAGTTAAAACTCCCTTGTCAGTAGTAAACTTAAATTAATATCGTCAAAGTAACAAAGTTTTTTATTCAGTACTAAGGCCCTTTTTATGGCGCTTAAACACGTCCCAAATATAGCTTGCCCTACCACCACTTCGGGACAACATACGGGCTGATGCTGAGAAAAAGTGGCGGAAGAAACTCAGTCAGCTTCGTCAGTCTCTTTTGTCGATCTGACAGTGCGGGACACAAAGAACGCAAACTGACAGGTGTAGGCTGCTGGCTGCTGTTCATTTGACCTGACCGCAGACCGCATCCAGAAGTGACAAATTTTTAAATTATCATGCCCAATCGTCACAATATCGTCAACAGAAACCAATACCAAGCACGTTCCGTTTTCACTGACGGTGCAAAAAACGATCGGCGCGTGAGATCGATATGAAATGAAACGCATCTAAAAATATTATAACGGGGTCAATATTATGAGAATGTTTTTAATTCCGTCATTCAGGAACTTGGCCGAAAGCCAACCTCTGCATTATAAATATTTTTCGCGGATTATTCATTATTTTAATGCAAGTTATGTCATGTATGTGCTTAATTGGGATTTTCACTTGACTAAGTTTATGTTTTAGGTAAGTGATTCAGTTGAGTGCTAACTTCTAAACAACAAGTCTGCAAGAAACTCTTTTGCTCCTATATGAATTAAAGGGAAAACACTTATTTCGGACAAAAAAAAGTGATTCAAAACTTCACTAAAACAATATCCAGAATATCAGATATCAGCACTGTGGCAAACTAGAGTTGAGCTGTTTTTCAGCATAAACAGTCCAAAATGATGAAAATAAGCTTTCCCCAAGAAATGCCATAAAGTTAGAACTACCGCTTTTTAACTTACACTTAAACTAACATAATCTGTCAAGGGCCGCCAAGTTAATGTTGATAAAATATGAAAATTAGAAACAGGACGTCAGTAGACTTTCTGAATCTACCTTGTTTATGAAGGCTCCAGAGTCATCTGAATTTCTAAACAGATTTTTAGAGAAGGACCCATGCTGAAATGGAAAGCTTATAATACCATAGGGCATGAAGGTGGCTTTGTATACTCATGAAAGTCACTGACTGACTGACTCACTCACTCATCACGAAATATCAGAAGCTACAAGTGCTAGGAGTCTCAAATTTTGCATGGGGGTTCCTTTTAGAACGTAGGTGCTCACTAAGACGGGATTTTGCAAAATTCAACTCCTAAGGGGGTAAAACGGGATCCACGCGTACGAAGTCGCAGGCGGCCGCTAGTAAACAAAACAAATTAAATTCTACATCGATGCCTAAACTCAGAAAAGTCAAAGACTTAGGATTATTCATCGCGTGATTTGCATTTTAGTTGGACAGGTCATCAGACCCATGTAATGTACAGTTACGTTAAATCCGTTTACATTTTTGACTAACTAGTGACGTATCACTTATACAATAACAAAATTCGCATCCCAAGGTTTTGAAATAGTAATAATGAAGCCATTGTCAAAAATGTATGCCGCGAAAGACAATGCCAAATGTGTTGTTAGTTTGCATGTGACATTGAGGCTCTTAACATGTGGAGATAAAGTTTAAATAGGTATGAAAAGTCTGGGAGAACTTTGGTTTGTTGAATTTTGAAGCAGTTTCAGAAACAAGTGATGGTGCATTGGTGGTACGGGACTATTCCCACCTCTCGTTGACAGCGCTGCAACTCCTGTGTAGCCAGGATCTACAGCTTGAGCGCCAATAACCCAACCAGTGAAGGTCGAGTTTCTCCCGGGGGAAAGTTAAACTGTTATTGGACCCGCAATGAAGTTAATCAGAAGTAATCGGAAGAACATAAGAGGCGTTTATTGCCTTCGAAGTGATGGTGATTTAGTAGATTCTTCTACCGAGATTATATACTTTACCCTTACCTTCGGACAGTTGCTTAGATAAGGGTAAAATATCCGAACAAGTTTAATTTACCAGTCAAGTATGGATATCAAGGTGGCCTTGATGGATATCCCTATGTCTGTGGAACGTCACGTCACGTCACTACGTCAAAGCGACCCTGAACTAACTTTTCAGGAGAATGGCGTTTAATCTGACGTGTTTTAACTTTAAGGCTTTGGAGCATTTAAGTTTAATGTTCTTTGCAAGATCAAGACAACCTTCTCTTTCTATCCCTGAAAAGATTACAGCGAAAGATATATGATAAATCGAAAACTTCTTGCAGATTCTACGCTTTGAGGTCATCTATAGAAGAACAAAGGTCAAGCATAGAGTATAGCAACAGAAAATCTTGGCACACATTTATCACAAAGTAATAAAGTCTAATTTCCAAAGATGAAGCAGCCAGTTCAGGAAATCACATATTCCAATTAATATTCAAATTGGTACAGGAAAATGGCAAAAAGGATAAAAGAATGACTGGGAATAACTTATAAGGTAAAATCTTGACGAATAAAGGTAAAATACGTCGTGTATTGAAAAGGTTTGGTTTTCATTCAATGAGGGTTTTCGCGAATGAAAGATCCGCTAGATGGCGGGACGTGGATGTGGGGTCTGACTGCTGCGTGATTGGTGGATTTTGACATATCTGTCAATGTCATGTCAAAAACAACCAATCATGCAGCATTTGGACCTCGCGTCTACGTATTGCCATCTGGCGGATTTTTCATTGGCGAAAACCATCATTGATGTAGAGACTATCAGAATAAGAATAAGAATAAGACTAACTAAACTAGCCATGCATGGTGAGCTGTACGGCTAGCACGAAAAACTTTCGAGTTCAAAGTGTTTGCGTATTCGAATCGTCATCAAAAGATTTAGTACGAAAACTGAGAAATTGTTGCACGAAACTTATTTTGAGAATCAAAATTGTTAATTCGAAGATTGAGTATCGAATTTTGTCGAATACGCAAACGATTCGAAAACGAAAGTTGGTCATGCTAGAGGTACTGAGCGTGCTATGCTCGGAGTTTTCCGTGATCGAATCAGAAATGACTCCCCTATGAATCTCCTATTCATAGGGGAGTCATGGTAACCAATATAGCCTACAGAATTGCAAGGGCAGGGCACATAATTGGTGCCAAGAGATTTTTTGTTACCATCAGGATAATGCATAAAATAGCATACGCACCAACCGCGGGGGTAGCTAGTGGGAGACCAGAAGGGTAAAGTCTACCCACTAAAAAGCTCATTTCTTCCGCCATGAGGCCTTATGAGTGGGAAATGCGGGACATCGCCATTAGCTGTTGCCTGTAGCATTCGTCCGAATCTTAACTTCGAACTCCTATGTTTTTCTGATTAATTTCGTTGCGGGTCCCATGACAGTTTAACTTTCCCCCGGGACAAACTTGACCTTCACTGGTGTTTTTATTAGCGGTTAAGCTGTAGATCCTGGCTACACAGGAGTTGCAGCGGTGGGAACGAGAGAATAGTCCCGTTAGCATCCGCGTTCCCTGCTTGGAGCTTGCCAAGAGCCTAGAGTTACTAAATTTAATTATAATTATCATACATTGACCATTTGACGTCGTTTTATCTAACGAATTATAGTAGATAAGCCAGTATCTGCATTGGATAGTAAATGTAAACAAAAAATTGCATGAAATGAAATGTCTGACGTAGACTGATAATAGTCAAGTCTTTATTTATTGCCTGTCTAAGGAAAAGGTTGATTTATTGACTAGGAAGAAGTTTGTGATTCAGTCGACCGCACCTCTGACTGTAATAATATGAAAATTAAGCTTCAGGAAAATTAGGTGGTACATAATATTTATTGTGCTGCATATCTTTACACTTTACCTGAAAGGTTGTCCTTACTACCACATACTCCACACATCACAGTGAATAACCCTTGTTCTATGACTTGCAAATTTCCATAAAAATAACTCATCGTTCCATACAAAATTATCAAACAACTGATTGAATTTGTATAGAATAATAAAAAAAATACATACTTTTAAGTCATAAAACAAAAGTTGGTCACCATGATGTAAAGAATATAATAATATGACAGGAAGGGACACCCTGTATGTAAATAAAAATAAATGTATAAAGGCTTACCTGATCAAAGTCCTTCTGCCTGAGAGGCATCTGCGGCTTCACACTCGTCGTGCTACTGACCGAACTCATCGTAGACCTACCCACGTCCTCTCATAAATACAAACGAATACGAACAAAAAACAAATTGCACTAAAATCAAACACGATACATGTGTGTGTATAAAAAAAATATTACTCTAATCACACATAAGAGATCACAGTAGAATTATGTTAGTTAGGTATTTAGATATTTACAATAACATAATTTTATTTATTTTATTTTATTACGATGCTATCGTCTGATGGGCCAGTTGATTACTGTGCTTGTAATATCTGAAAAAGAAAGAAAAGTTGTCATTCATCAATATTTTTTTCAATCTTTTTATGTAAGGACAATGGTACAGTCAACAGCATTAGCACATCTTTGTTGCAAAATAACACAGTGCCAGATTATTTATCTTGATATGGTTGTCCGTACTAAGGAGACATTGTCTAGACAAGTGCCAATACACCGTAAGACATTGTCAATTTTGTGGAATTCAGTGGGAGAGGTCATTTTGTTAATCAAATCCAGATTAAATTTTGGTCATAAACTAATGAAGATAACGAAGACTGCCAGTATTGTATAACGAGGAATAATCAAAATAAACTGTAACTGAGATTGAACTGTCCAAGTGATCTTAGCACTTATTCACTTAGCAATAAGAGAGGTTTTGCTCAAATAACAAGGATTATAGAAGGTTTGGGGTCAATGCTAGTTCGGTCTTATTGGTCTGCAAAATTGCTCGTCTATTGATGCTTTGCTGGCCATGCAAAATTGGCCATCTATTGATGCATCGTAGGCCATGACGTTAAACTGTTTATGTTTGTTTATTTATTTCTGCACTTTGCCGTTTCGTCAGTGAGGATTGGAATCAGAAATAGTCAACTTTATTGCAATGAAAGCATTTCTGATGCAAATGGGTCATATTTGGCAGTTTTTATGATCTGTAGTGTAAACAATAATGCCCATATAAATTCTGAATCGCAATAGAATCTTTGATGTTAAACTTTTTACCTATGTCAAAGCCAATCTAATTTTACAGTTATTTGAAAACTAATTAGGTTTTGAAGGACATAATGTACTGTTGTTTTTTGTGTTGAAATCATTGGATAAAGAAGAGTAACCTACCCAGTTTTATTTATGCATTTTTTTTTAAATGGACAGAACACAAAAGGGTGGGTAAATCAATGTTGACATCTCAGAATACAGAACAAACCAGAAGGAGTGTTCGATAACATTTCTACGCGGCAACTTGTGTCCAAAATACTTCCCCTCCCGCGCCCCTCTACCCCCTTTAGTGTTACTAGCGCCGTGTGACACCCCCATTTTTGGGGTAAAATTATGTAATTTTTTAAAGAGATGTTAAACAAGTAAAAAATAAGTAAGTGAAATAAGTACACACGGCCAGTGTTAACTATCCATTTCCGTTTTTGCTCTCGCTCTTATCAAATGGTGATTCTTTGCGATAGAACGAGACGACATGACTGGCCATAGGCATAGATAGTACCTACCTACCTATGAATTTAATTTTTACTCCGAAGTAACTAAGTGTAAATATTGCTGCTGCTGATCTGTTGATACCAATGCCTTACTTTTGAATAAATGGGAAAGTATGAAATTCACGATAGTAATTTATTATCTCCTCATTATTAGGGAGTAATATTATAAATTAATTCAATATATTGAAATCAAATCAAAATCAAAAATATTTATTCAGTTTAGACCACAAGTGGCACTTATAATTTAATTAATCAGGTTGTCATGTCATGGATGAAATTACACTAAAAACTAATTAAAACAAAAAGGATGGGGAAAATATTCCATTATTCTGTGGTAACGCTAACAAAATTAACGCGTGAATTTTTTATAAGTAGACAAATGTAATTCAATATAAAAAAGTAGGGTAAAATATTCCGTTGACCTGTGGCAACACTTACAAAATACAACCGTGATTTTTTTTGAAAATTATTATTTAATTAAAATGAATTGGAAATGTGCTACTTACGGATAAAACATGATCCCATGCACTTTCTTCGTAATTCCAGTAGCATTCTTACATGTTGGAACGGCACAAGACGGCATAATTTAATTATAAAGTGTCAATCTGACGGATATGTAAACAATGCGCGCGCCGGCCATTGACTGATTGCTCTAAAGTCAAAGTAGTGCGATTTGGAGTACTTTATATGAATACACATTTACGCCCGTTGACGGTTTCTGGTTTGTTCCGTATTCTGAGGTTGACATTAAAGTTTACATGAAGGTAGTAGTGAATACCTGCTGAATATGTATGTATTTATTTAGAAAGCGAAATTCTAGGCCTTGCAGTCACGTCCTTCTGACCCTTGCAATGTGAAAACCTGTTTTAGCAGTGATATAACTCAACCACAATTAAAATGATGGAAATCTAAAATCATACGTTGAAAACGAGTCTAACTGCATTTCTCAACGAAAAATTACAGTGCAACAGTAACACCTACTCATGCAGAAACTGTGTTGACTTAGCATACAAGTATGGACGTAAATATTCGTAAAAATCGTCTGGTTAAGACGACATTAATGTTACTTTCTACCCACAATAAAAAAAATAACTTGCGAAATAGCGGGAAATCGCCCGACGCAACTAATAGGTGGAAAAAAGTAAAAGTGCAGTGCATCTGACAAAGGAATCGAGATTTAGCAAGAAAACAAGGCCAAACGAAAACACGATAGTTTTTTTTCACATCCACCCTTTACGCATCGTCAACCAATACGCACCTTCACGGTTTCACTAATACTTCTCATGGCACTTCAGTACAACGTAAAATAAACAATAATCCACGTTTCTAACATGTAAATGTAAAGAAATTACGACTGATTTGCTTGCTTCTACTATGTACCAAGTACAGGTACCTGTCAATTACTGACATATGGAATCCTATGCGACAAAATAAAGATTCATGCTAATTCTAGTAATATCAATACAAAGTTGAGCTAAGTTATTTCGGTCGAATTGTACTTACGTATCACCCGTTTTCACGCTGTCATCTAGCACATTTCACTTTTTCAAGCACAACACAATGAAACGTTCATTTGATTCGATTACTTCTAAATACAATGATTAAAATGTAATACAGTTCCGAAAAATCAAGTTCAAGTAGGCCCTATTTCGATCAACCATTCTTTGCACAATCGAAAAAGAAACAAGGAAGAAGAGAGAACGACTATGTTTTCTTCACTAATCGCTAGGTGGCGTCCGCCACAATGAGCATGCCTTCTTGAGGTGCGTTCAAAAAATAAAAAATATTAATCGATTCAAAATAATCGATTCATAAAATCCTTAAAGTTTATTATTTTGCAAGAAGCTAGAAGCTTACAACTAATTTTAAATCTTCTTGCAAATTTTCATATCCTACTATCTGATTTATCTAAATCCAAAATATAAGCTCGATGCTCGTATATTGATCGTATCGTTCATAGACAATAATTAAATTATGTATAAGAGTACCGTCATTAAAAAAAAGGATGTCAAATGTCTGATCTGTCAATAGTGTCAATAAAACTGTCAAAGCTGTCATTTTGTGTAAATGTTTTGCTTGTTGCAGTTGCTGGCTTGCTGCACTTTTAAATTACTTTTATCTAATTTTCTTATAATAAAATCTAATTAGTCTTATCAGCATACATAAATAAACGATTGTTTTATTCAAAAAGTGATAAAATAAAGATGTGCTACGTGATTATTACCGGGCGCAGCTTAGCGTGGCTACTGCTGAGTGTAGTTGCATTTATGTTAATACTGTCCGGTATTATGACCCCTAAATGGTTAATGGGCCAGCCTGTGATCACTAACGATCATAATGTGACTTCCTTCTATGTCCCTAGCGTCGGGATATACAATAGGTAAGTTTGTTGAACTTTACAAAACTTTTTTCTTACAGGAATCTTAGTTGGTTTTAAAGTAAAGAATTTATTATTTTATTTAAATAGCAATTAATTTACCTAGCAATTTACACATATTCATATTCCATTTAAATATTAAAAAAAAAAGAAAAAACACTGTTACATATTTAGTACCAAGCAAAAAATAAATACAAAAACAACTTCTATTTTTGTACAAAACAAATTACAGCACTAAATTAGTTACTAAATTGTAGGTCCTTGAACTGTACTGTATTTTTCTGTTCATTTAGGCCCAGAACAGACGATGAAACGCAACTGCAACGAAACTGCAACTGCTAGTTACTTTTGAGTTGCATCTAAGTTTCTGCCATAGCGTCCGTTGAGAGACCGTTTGAAACTTTCAAACTGGTCGTCATGTGTGGGCCTTAGGAATTACTTATAATTTATTCACAATAAATGCGTAATATAAAACTTTACTGTTTTAACTTTCTAGATGCCTACGAATGAGGAATGACATGAATAATTGTGCATCTTTCTCGTTCTACGGCCTGGCGACTTCGGATACAGTCTACCCGAGACCATGGAAAGCGTCCATGTTCTTTTTATCATTGTGTAAGTAGTTAAGCTGTACTTTCTTAACTATTCTATTACTGTTCTTATTAGACAGGACCCCCGTTGCTGTTTCTTGACTATGTTTGCTGCCTGTCAACAAAACATTAAAATCATTCCTAATAAATAAAGGCTACTATGACTTACCAGATTTTTTTAATGACAAGCTTGACTAAAATTTAATTAATCATTTTCTGACATATTGGAATGCTTCGACGTCTCAATTCAAATTGTTTTTGTAATTTAATAAAATGGAATAACGTTTTTTTTTTCTCCGTATAATACTGACCATTTAAGACTAACTAAATGTTATTTAAAATTATTTTTAAGGTAAATACTAACCCTCTCTCTGATGTTTTGCTGTGCCCTTGCAGGGCGTCACATGTACCTACCTCTATTTTGCAACAACATACGAGGGGCGGCTGAAAAGTTTTGAGCCTAGGGTATTAAAAATGCCGATAGAAAAGTATAAAAAATATATTTTTCTATTTGATCTCCCTCTACCACAATGGACTTCTTACATTTGTGTAAAAGAGCTTTTAACCCATTGAAAAAAAATTCGCAATCTTTGCCTTCGAAATGAGCCTTTAACACCGCTTTCATTTCTTTATCACTCAAAAATCTATGTTCCTGGAGGTCTTTTTTCCAATTTGAGAATTAGACAAAATAGCTAGGGATTCGGACTAAACTGTGTAGTGGGTAATTAATTTCTTGAAATCCAGTTTTACCCGGGGCAAGCCATGCAAAATGCGCGGTGTGCGCGGGCGAATTGTTTTGCAATAACGGATTTCCTTTCGCCAGTTTGCCTCTTAATATTTCAACAACCACTTGACGCACTTTTATCAGCAGTACAGCATAATAATCCCCGTTTATTGTAGTTTTTTTAAGTAGGTAGTCAATGAATGAAATTCGTCCACAATCCCAAAAATAGTGGCTATGAGCTTGGGTGTCGATCGCTTCACTTTGAATTTCCGCGGCGGCGTTTTCCCTTTTGAATCCATTGCATTGACTCTTATTTTGACTCTAGATCGTACTGCCGGATCTATTATTTATCAATAGTGACAATGTGAGAAAAAAAATTGTTAGGAGTATGGCCAAAGATGTCCTAAAACTCCTGCAAAGTTGTGACTCGACGCTGGTTGTCGAACGGCGTGAGCATTTTTGGCACCCATCGCACGCACCCCTATTTCATGTGCAAATGAGTATGAAAAATATCGCCAATATGTTCCTTGCTAATGCCTATGGCTTCAGCTATCTGTCACAGCTTAATTCGCTGATCTCTAAAGCAAGATTCTTTAAATATTCATTATTTTATTCGATAATGGCGAAATCTGGCCGCTCTGACTTGCGGTCATCTTTTAGCGACTCCCTGCCATGCTTGAATTATCGGATCCAATCTTTCATGGTGGCAAATGAAGGCCCTGACTCCCCATAAACTGTAGACATCTCTTCAAATGATACCGTCAGCGTTTTGTTCCTCTTTTTGAGGTATTTTATGACAACTGTGTACTTCAATTTCGTACATTGCGCGGATGACTGAGACATGATGTTGTTTACGGATGAATTACTAAAAGACTGATGACGCTAATGAAATGAAACTTTGTACATATACTAAGGAGGTTATTGGCAGATTAATTAAATTTAGCGCGAGTCAATAATAACACTTGAAGATACTTAGGCTCAAAACTTTTCAGCCGCCCCTCGTATAAATTGTAATGTGACATGCAATAAACGTTTTGAATTTGAATTTGTCTCTTGTCCCTGTTGTTTTTGTCAGTTATTTCTGTTGCTGCATAAACTGCACCTCTATACAATACAATATTATTATCTTATGGCCAGTTATATTACTCTTATAAAAGCAGATCTACTTGCCATTATTTATTTATTTACTAGCTTCAATCCATGAAATGAACTAGTATAGCCGAAGTTAGTAAAGTCTCATCAAAATCTCTCTAGTAGATAGTTTGTATCAAACTCTATGGAGTGCAAAAAACACAGGTTATCGTCAAAGTTAGCTGGTTCAACAGCCTAAAAGTTTTAAAAAAATCTTATTATTGATGTCTGAAGTATTTAGAATTATTCATCCCATGTTTTAATTAATAGTAATATAATAAAAGGTCACAGACCCCTACAATTATTGTAAACAACGTCTATTCAACACTATGAGTCAATACTGACCCGATTTAGTTCCATTCACTGTGTATATCAGTTCTGTATTTCATGTTACGTATTGCTCACTTATTACCGTGATGTAAACTCCTTTGTTTAAAACCAGGAAGGTTTAAGGAAAAAACATCGTTAAAATAAGGTAAACAGTCAGATTTATTAAATCAAAAAACAGAATTGGCGGTTTGTTTAGCACTCATTAAAGGAAAAATAATGAGCTGAAATGTGTACAGTCAGCATCAAATAGTTCATGACACCTAAAGTAGCCGAAAAGTTCGCAACATGTCTTTGTTACAATTTGGAATAAAGTTCTGTATAAAATTTTCGGCCACAAACTATTTGAGTTAGTTGGTTTGGTACTTTGTTTAGCACTCATTATGGGAAAAATAATGAGCATCGGGATGTGTATGTAAAGCATGATTTTTTGGCCTTCTTTCTTGTGCTAATAGAATGCTAATGGACTCGTCTCGTGCACCGGCAAACCAACAACACGCGTCCTTCATTGTCTTTAGGCTATGTCGTTTCAGCCAAATGACGTCCACTGCTGGACAAAGGCCTCCCCTAAGGTTTTCCATAGTGAACGGTCCTGCGCTGCCCGCATCCGGGTTCTTCCCGCGACTTTTACAAGATCGTCGGTTCACCTATTAAGAGGCGTGCCCACGCTACGTCTTCCAGCCCGTGGTCGCCACTCGAGAACTTTTCTGCCCCAGCGGCCATCGTCTCTGCGAGCTATGTCGGTCACTTAGGCTGTATATCAGCATCAGTTCGTCAGAGAGACAAAAATACATTTGGAAGGTCACTCTGTGGGCCGTAATATCACAGAACTGGCCATAAACAAAATAAGAAGAAGAAGATAGAGCCTCAATACTCAGGAACCACTTAAGCAGTTGTGACTCGGGCGGTTGGCAGCATGGTGAAATTTAAATTGACTGTGACTCAGACAATAGTGACTGAGTTTTTTCCGCTGCTTCTTCTCAACACTGGCCCATTTATTGTCCCGAAGCAGTGGTAGGGTTAATACTGGGACGTATAAAAGTGCTTTTTAAAAGCCTATTTGCTTAAATAAATGAGTTTTATGATTTTTTTTATGTATCGTAAGAGCGGTTCGTGTATGGTCTTACAATTCTTTATTATGTTTTGTGTCACAAATTTTCTTCTATTCTATTCTCTACAGGTGCAGCGGTGCAGTTTGCGACGGTGTTAACTGGACTGATGGCGTGTTGCGTACAAGCTGTGTTCAAGAAGAGTGTCGTGTCGTTGTCCGGTGCCACTCAAGCTCTTGGAGGTGAACAGCACTATTTTTACTACCTTTTGCATGTGGTTTCGCCCAGGTGAAACAGAAAGACAGAGGGCGTCAGTTTATAATAGAACGACTTAAGTAGTGTATAGTCAATAATACTAGAAAGTTTCACCAAAATCCATTTAGCAGTTTTTGAATGAAAGAGTAACAAAAATCTATCCGTTCTCACAAACTTTGGGACGTCCACCTACAAGGTGGACCGACGACATCGTAAAGGTAGCAGGGAAGCGCTGGACGCAGGCCGCTACCAACAACATTGGGGGAGGCCTATGTTCAGCAGTGGACGTCCTATGGCTGAAATGATGATGATGATGATCAGTGCCGTAACTAGGGCGGTGCCAGCGGTGCCCAGGCACAGGGCGCAGACCCTGGAGGGGCGCAGAAATGACCAGACCAGTATCTAGTTTTGTTTCATGCATGGTAGTTAGTAGGTACATTTTGTTTTATTGCGAATATGGTGTAGACGCGCCCTCTGTACTATCTATATCTATATGGCATTTTTCAAGCGATAACAACACTTGTAAAGGTGGTTTTATATTTGTCTGATGTGTCGTGACGTGACGCGTCAGAACGGTATCGGTTTCATACATTTAGTACTAGCTGGTGCCCGCGACTTCGTCTGCGCAGGATTAGTATTTCGAACAATATGTTCATAAATTGTAGCCTATGTGTTATTCTGATGTATAAGCTATATTATTGTAAAGTTTCATTAAAATCCATTCAGCAGTTTTTGCGTGAAAGAGTAACAAACATCCATCCATCATCCATACAAACTTTCGCGTTTATAATATTAGTAGGATGGTAACGTTCACACTAGTGCGTAACGTGTTGTGTTGTGATGGCTTATGTACGGAACCGATACAGTTCTGACGCGTCAAGTCACGACACATCAGACAAATATAAATCCACCTTGTCTTGCTCGCAATATTACATACACAAACAAAAGTACCTATACCGTAACTATGAGACAATTTCTGTCTATATTCATTTGGAGGGCGCCACTTCTAACTTAGAAGTTCTAAGCAAATCTGTCAATCTAGCTGAGGAGATGTACAGTCGCGGAATGAAAAGGTTCGTCAGTTTTCAAATTGATTCCTTCAACGAATCGCTAGCACATATTACCTTTTGAAACTATGTTACAGAATAATCTCGAGTTAGAGAAAATAATCTTTAACTGTTCGTCAGTAAAGTTCAAAATTATTCAGATCAAAGTTGTTTGACGATTTATCTTGTCAAGAAGATTATTATGATTGATAAACTAAAACCTTCTTGTTGGTTCAACCTGCCATTATTATTTCTATTAAATAAAAAAAACTATTGTCAATTGGTCAATGTCATTATTGCATTGCACTGATGGGATAGAAAAATAAACAAGCAAAACCTTNCTGTCAAAACGACATCGCGATACGGATTTGTCAAAACAGCCTTAGGGTGGGTTGCACCATCTTAGTTTAACTTTGACAAACGTCTAAAATCTGTCAAACTCCATACAAAAAACACCGGTTAACGTCATAGTTACGGTCAAAGTTAGGTGGTGCAACTCACCCTATTGGTTTTCGATATAATCGAAGCTTATCACCGGGGTTTTAGTAATCGCAATGAAAATGGCGGGTGTTGCGATTCGATTCGATTTTGATTGAGTCTTAAATGCATGTTGGCTAAGCCTTTGTATGGGAAATTTCAATCCAGTCTTTCGATTATCGATAGGTAGGGCTTTGCGATTCGATTTTTTGCCCTTTGACTAAGCCTTTTTTGTTATCGACCTCTTTTGCGATTTGTTTATTTGTTTGCGACTGGTTTGCGATGGGTTTGCGATTTTAAAGTGCGTTTTGACTAGACCCACTTATTCGTTAGCAAACGTCATATTTATTTAAATGTTAGCAGCACTGTTTCTTGCACTGTTATGTTGGCAGGTTTGACTCTTACAGTACCTAGTGCAAGCGAAAACCGACACTAAGGTGACGAACCTTTTCATTCCGCGACTGTACATATAGTTCACGTTACGCTGTCATTGCTGTCAGCCACATTCATTGGTCCTCCCTTTATCTTTGATTTTATTCATTAACTACGTGCGGCGTTACTGACGCACTAGCGTGCGAGAGATAGATAGAAAATTAATCGTTCGACAAGAGTGAAAAGGATGACTCACAAAACTAAACGATTCACAAACGTTCCATTCTGCCGCGCCGTCCCACCCAATGTTCGGGGATTCCCCGATACATCGAGAATCACGCATTCAGATAGCCGCAGTGTTGCCAGAAGGTTACTTTTGTAACCTTTTAGGTTACTTTTGAACTGCATTGGTTACTTTTAGGTTACACTAATGAAAAGGTTACTTTTAGGTGATTTTTCAGAAATTGTAGAATTAACTTTTACAGGTTATTCAGTAAAAAATTAATAGTGACAATTTAAAAATTATGTCATAAACTGCATTTAAACATGAATTTGATTTATTATCTGTTATAAAAAATGAGTTTTAGCCAATGTTTTTCGATAGTGAAACGCAAATCCATGAAACGTTTTTATACGACCGGTCACTTTTCGGTCTTCATGGAATGGTCAAAATTTCGAATTTAGGTAAATGATTGATGATCAATTGTATTCATTTTCCATCCATGAACAACCTTACACAATAGCTCCGCACGTAGAAGGTTACTTTTTATTCAAAAAGGTTACATTTTTTTATATTTCTCGCACCGGGCGCATAAAAGGCTAGTTACGGCACTGATGATGATCCGTTCTCACAAACTTTCACGTCTATATTTGCTAATATGACAAAGCTGAAGAGTGTTTGGCTAATGCGCTAATCTCAGGAACTATGGTTCGATTTTAAAAGGATAGCCCATTTATTGAGGATGGCTTTAGGCTATAATAACATCACCGTACAGCCAATAGGGGTGGAGCAGCATAGAAAAATGTTGTAAAAACGGAAAATATTATAATACACAGCTTAAAGTCTGTTCGCCGAGAGTTGATAAATATTATGAAATGTCTTGCAATCGCGACGTCGCTTAATTATCGCATTCTGTATGGCGGGCGTCGTTTGTCACAACGCGCACTGAGTACCATGGTACGAGCCACGCAGCTGTCGTCAAGCGCCCCGGCCGGCGGGCCGCAATGTGTGAAACGGAACAGATTTATTTTACATAAGACCGAAATGAATGGTATGACAGTGGGTAGGGCTTTGCCCAACATTGGGATACACTATAAGCCACTTGATAATAATGAAATACTTTTTATCCAACACATGGACGCCACGTGTTTGATCCGTATCCCCACGTATGCCCTAACCGGAATAATTCCCGTAAATTTAAAAGAGATAATAATGATAATCTACCAACTTTTTCATTATATCGACAAAAATAATTAGCGGGCCGCAATTTATAATGAGTTTAGAACCTCTGATATTTTTTTTTATCAACTCTCGGCGAACAGACTTTAGTTTATAATATTAGTACTTAAGATAAGTAGCAGAGAAAGGCAGGTATTTCACCGCATTTAAATAATCCTGAGTAATAATTAATTGTAGGAAACCCGTGGTTTATAATCCGGATTGCACTTAAATGACGTTTTCACTTAGGTCTTCTTTAAAATTCCAGGTCTTTTCGGAGTGCTGGGTCTGCTCCTATACCCTTGGGGATGGGGCGCTGACCGAGTGAAACGTCTCTGTGGGGAGTATTCAGAACCTTACATACCTGGCGAGTGCTCTATTGGTAAGTAATTACACTGAAAATGGTCCTTCAAAATCAAAATTTTATACAGGGTGTTAGGTAAATGGGTATATGAGCCGACACAAGCCCATGTTAACATGGTCATATAAATGGTAAGGTGAAGTCAGAAAATTGATATCTTCATTTTAATTATTTTATTTTTCATACAAATCGGATTTTGTAATTTTTTTTTGTATGAAAATTTAAAAAAATAAAATGATGATATCAAATTTCTGACTTCACCATACCATTTATATGCCCATGTTAACATGGGCTAGTGTCGGCTCATATACCAATTTACCAAACACCCTGTATAGTACCCAGGCCCTTTCCAGGGCACTTGTACACGTCTCAAATATAGCTTGCCCTAACACCACTTCAGGACAACATGGGCTGGTGCTGAGAAAAAAGGCGGAAGAAACTTTTTTTTATGCATAATAAGGCAGGCGAAGGTGGCCTCTCACTATAGGCCTTATACAGAAGCTCAAAGTTGCACAGCGTGCTATGGAGAGGGCTATGCTTGGTGTTTCTTTGCGAGATCGAATCAGAAATGAGGAAATCCGTAAACGAACCAAAGTCGCTGACATAGCCCGACGTATTAGCAAGCTGAAGTGGCAATGGGCAGGACATAGTACGCAGAACTGACGGCCGATGGGGCAGAAAGGTTCTGGAATGGAGGCCGCGTACCGGAAAACGCAGCGTGGGACGTCCACCTACAAGGTGGACCGACGACATCGTAAAGGTAGCAGGGAAGCGCTGGACGCAGGCCGCTACCAATCGATCAACATGGAAAGCATTGGGGGAGGCCTATGTTCAGCAGTGGACGTCCTGTGGCTGAAATGATGATGATGATGATGAAGGCAGGTATTTGACCACAATCGCACCTGATGTTAGGTGGGATGCAGCCTAGGATGGTACATATCTGCCCTACTGAGTCACCTATTTATTGTTATTATTTATCATCTCGCTGTGTGATATCGGCATAGTAAAATTGAATCACAATTTAAATATTATTACTGACGGGATTGCTACCATGTACCTTAATAATAATTATGTTAGTGACCATGAAAGATTAAAACAATATAAAATTGAATCACTCCCACTTATCCCATGGATGTCGACACACACACACGCTACCTTTTTTGAAGTCGATTATAATATTTAACCCTTTCTCTTCCAGGCTGGGCGTTATACGTGACCGCTACGGGTGTGGCCCTAGTGTTTCTATCCAGCGCACTATCCAAGACAGCAGCGAAAGCAGCCAACTCGGACAAGGTACAGTTCCAAATGGACGAAGGGAAGCAGCTGATCTGTTTGGCTTGAAAACCATTTGGTATACGGTAAACTGCCAGTCATTGGACACTAGGGTGGTCCTTATTTTTCGACTTTTGAATTCTCCCCGGGGCACTTTCTCATTCGATTATATACCCCTAAATATGAAATTAGCTTTTTTTGTTTTTTTTTTGGTTAAGATTTAGAGGTCGCTACCAGCTGTCAAAATATTTACAAAAGCTTTGAAGATCTTAAATCATGGTTTCATAAATGTTTTATTTAAGTGTTTATATCACATTTTAGGTGCAAATGAACATCGCATAGATGAAATAGACAGTCGCTTCTTGTCCCCTTCTCCCCTCAACCCCTCTTCTGTACCGACCATGGTACCGACGCGTCGAGATACTAACAAGTAAACTCTTATATCTTAAAAATAATTGATTCAAATAATGTATATTGTACATAATATCTTAGTTCATAGCAACAACAATAATTTTGTAACATTTTTATTTGGCTTTGGCTAAAAATAAATGAATCTAACAAATACAGATTTTGTGTTTTTACTTAAAATTCAAACCTTGGTAGCGACCCCTAAATGTCTTTTAAAAATTAAAAAAAAAATAATGAAAGACTTTCATATGGTATATATTCAAATTACGTGGTGCCCCGCAAAATATAAGAAAAAAAAAATTTTTCATAGGAATAAGGACCACCCTATTGGACACTTAAGAAAGTTATTGGACAGTTATTTACTGAATTAAAATTAGCATTTCTATTTCAACAACAGAGATTCCGACTGATGGAGATAAAAGGGCGTTTTTTTGAAGGAATATTCATTGTATTTGAAGGAATATTCGTTTTAAGAAAATTCAAGGGTTGTTTTATCCAATGACTGGCAGCGTCCAATGACTGTCGGTTTACCCTATTTGGTAGAAAACGCACTGAGCATAAGGTGAGCATAGGCTAGAGCATTTCTCTGTAATGTAACGTTCTTATGAATCATACGAATACATTGTGATTTTATAGTCGCTTTATTCTGAAACGTCAAGTGGCAAAAATCTAAAAGTAACAACCTGTATTGACAGTAGCGCACTCCTGACAATGTCGAAGCTGGGACGGTTCAATGTTGGACATCTATACCATGAGTTTATATTAGGTGTGCTTGCTAGCGACTGTATAAAAAGATGACATTAAATGTATAAAAGATTGTAGCGGCTACTTTCAAGAACTAAAATCTTCATAGATTTTCGTGATGCACTCGCTAGCAAGCACACCTAACGTAAACTCATGGTAAGCACTCAGGTAAAATTATTTACGTTTGATTCGTGGAAGGGTGACACTGACACTAGAATATTGCATCTTGTTGTTCTGTTACAAGTAAATGCTCTAGTCTATACTCACCTTTAGAGTTTAAAAAAAATACATTTAAAAATGTAACACTGCCAGTATTTTAATGATGACATACTATAGTGACGTCATTGAATAGCAATTAGCATGGTCACTTTAGATTAACTTCTACTATAATCGGTGCTATTGTCTGTAGGAATCTGACAATTTTTAATTAAATAAATAAATTGATATCGATTGTCGATTGCTCGCTACACTATCGAATTGATAAACGACTATTAATCGATAAGATATGGCTATAAAAATCGATTCAATACATCGATAAAAACGAGACTGCCACAACACTACGATTGACGATTCCAGTGATTTTTTCTCCGATATAAAGAATTTTGCGAGGAAATATTTTAGTCAGTTATTTTGAAAATATTGCTATTTTTATTTATTCATTGATACAGCAAAATTTGGAGGCATATTTAGTCCCCAGTGAACCAGTACCTAACTTTTATTACAAAAGAGGTGTTTGTATTTAGAAAATAATGTATTTATAATAAATAACTCTGATGATTTATGGTTGTGCGTATCGTCAATCGTAGACTCAAATTATTTGTTCCTCATAATATAGTTGTGAAAATTTTACAAAAAGGCTTAAAAATAAAAGTAACATCAGCGAATAAAACTATTATAGATTAATAAAACAATATACAACTGCCATATAGCGCATTTAGTGGTAGTAAATGCATAAGATCAAGTTGAGCTAGTTATACATATTATATAGGATGTCCCATAGACATTTAAGATGTATTTACAAATGCAAGTTTTTATTCGCGACACGCATCATCCGCTGTAACGACAATTTCAATGTCTGTAAGCTGGTCTTATTCTCAATGTTAATAATAAAATAAAATTGGTATTTCATAATCTACGGGACACCCTACATGTATACAAGGTTAATACCTTTTCCCCCTTATTTATAAAAAGTTACACCCTAGTTGAACCCTGTTTTAAAGTCACGTTTAGTATGGAAATGTCAGTTTAAAACAGGGTGTAACTTTTTTTAATAAAGGTTATAGTTCTTGTAACTCACGAAGGCGAGTGAGCTTACTTAGGTATGTGTGTACGTGTACATGCACATAACGATAGTGTAATGTCTGTCAAAACTTTTGCAAAACGAACAGTAGCGAGCCACCATACATGTAAAGCTCACTCGCCTTCGTGAGTTGCAATAACTATAAGCTTTTAAAAGAATCTCTAATACTTTATTTTATAAGGCGTGCTAATTGTGAATTATCGGCATATTGTATTACTCAGTTATTGTATAACTAATACTATTTTTATTTGACGACGCTGCGATGTCGTCTAAGGCTTATTTTTAGGTTTAAGATAATTATTTTATTCCAAAGTATTTTTGAACTCAATTCGGCTATTGCCATCACTATTTTGTGATTATCATTTCTCATTTCTCTTCGGTATTTTTAGATTTTTAGTTTTGAGCTTTTTTTATATTATGTGTTTTTCACCCTATATGACTATTGTCATAATGTACTAAAAATAGAGTGCTAGAATCATCTCATTAAATTGTTCACTATATTATGTACAAAAAGGTTACTATTGTAGCTTTGGACTGTCATGTCTTCCAGTGTTTTATATAACAGTAAATAAATACATATAAGTATATTTTATACACTTTTCTTAAGGGACTTTTTTGTACGCTGCCGCTAATAAGTATTTTTGACAAATATTATATTTCATTGTAACCCTATATTTGTAGAGTGATTTATCAAAGATTTGAACTGAATACTCATGTGGCATATTTTTAATAATTGATATTACTAATGTACCTTAGGTTATGTAAACTTATGTATTATTTTAATTTATTTTTAAGATTTATGTGTAAATTACATAATTTTATGATGTAACATTTACATTTTGTGTTTTTTGTCTTAAACTAAGAGACACGACTATTTAAATCGTATTATGAAGATGTAAAGTTCAAAATTATCTACTAATAATGTTAAATAATGCACAGTCGCATTAATAAATTGTGCCTCGTTCAATATTGAATCTTATACTAAAGCTATAAAGTTTATTGTATACTCGTCATAATATTAGGTTATGTCGAATCAGCTGACTATAGTATACCTACTGCCTACTTTAAAAACGTGCATTTAGTCACAATGTTACTAAGTAATAAATAATACTATTATTAATTATATTTTGTATATCAAATTATATTGTATTTTGTGTCTGTATTTTATATAAAAATATACAATTTTGACTGAATTATATCGTTTTTATTTTTTATGTATTCCCTTGAAAAAAAGGGACGACTAAGTAGGTAAGGTAGGCATACAAAATTGCGTAATAATTAATTCATCTAATTTAACTTTTCTTAAACTCATCGCAGACTACAACTTTTATATTACCTATGCCGGTTTTCACCATCAATCTCTTATTTTTAAGTGACCCCTATGGTAACAGATATCAGTAATTTTGTTTTTAAAGGAGTCACTTAAAAATTAGAGATTGACACACAGCGTTGAATAGAGCTCTGTGATTGGTTCGTATGTCACCCCGTGCGACCAAGCTCACTATGAGACCTCATAGTAATGTTTGTGAATACGGGCGATAGTTCCTTCTTTCTTTACTGCGCCACTACGCCATCGGTGTCTGAAATGAAACAAAAAATCTTCAAGCATACAATATTACAAAATCATTTTCACTTCTAATTAACATCAATAACAAGCATGGGAAACGAAAAGTCCTTCAAACTGTCCACCATGTTGAAAAATAAAATTCAAAATGGCGCCCGTCTAACCGCCTACAGCGAAGCGTTAATTAAATATTCAAGCCCTACTTATCGGTAATTTTGCACTGTCCGTTTTGATCATTAGTACAATGGGAATAAGAGTCACAATAGTTGTCGTATGGTGTCCCCAACAGCTATTAGTAGTTGAAACTTTAAAAGCATAGAGTAGGAATATACAGTAGGTTTTTTCAGTGTTCAGTTACTGAGTATTGTGCTGAATGATTTTCAGTACTGGCCCACGTTATTGTCCTGAAGCAGTGGTAGGATTTAAATGGGACGTAAGCGCTTTTTAGGGTTCCGTACCCAACAAAGGATAAAAGCGGAACCCCATTACTAAGACTCCACTCCGTCTTTGCCCGTCTTCTGTCTGACCATGATAGCTAAATTGTTGTTTTTTAGAGATGATGTTTTTCTGTTGGCGCTGTAACATCTAAAAACAGCAAAATCCAATTTTAAATTACATGAAAACATTTAAGTAGTTTGAGATGCGACTTATAGCGTTAGAATTTTTTTAATAAAATTAATATTTCAGTGGAGCTTCCACACAACAATCGTGATTAGGTAAGTAGTTGCATTTTTGCCCGAAAACCTTAACTTATTTAGGTACACACCATACCTACAACTTTGTAGGGAACCATTCGGTGCCATTATCCAAAGTTTAACATTACATGTCTTCATAAATTACTTTTTTTTCCAGTGTTTACGATATTTTGTAACGTTAGCAGTTACCTGAACTTAATTTATAAGACGGTCCTACTGTATGGCTCCTACATTACGTTCCCACTGTATGACCTTACACTGCCATAGAACTATTAAGTATTTCTTCTTGAAGTCACTTATCTACTTTTTCTTGCAAATTGAGTTGAATTTACAAACAACTAAATGGCGGTCTGATTCATACGATGATATATTATGTAAAGGTTTTTCAGTTTACCTATATTTTAATAGATTTTTCCCATTTCTTTCGGTTCATCAGAGCCCTTTCACGG